TAGAGAGGACCAATTCAAACATCAGAGGTGGAATTTGGATATACGGTTTGATTGTGCGTATGCCATGCACGGAATTTACAAACGAGCGACGGGATGATGTAGCCTGCAGTATTAGCGGTAAGCGTGCCAAGTTTTAGGCCGCTCCGATGCCCGGCAGTATTTTATTTCGATTATTATGTTGGAACTGGATTTTTCTTGTTTCACAAGCTTCTTCTATTTTATTGTCTCTATGGAGGTATATGGGGACTTTACGACATTCGGTTTGAAGGCTTAAACCACTTGTTATAGTTTATTTTTGCATTGTATTGAATTAATGTGGCAGTCTAAGGTTGTCCTAGGAGGTTTTCAACTTTATGCACCGGGTTTTAATATCATTTAGCGATTTTACGACAACCGTTTACAATCCAATCAAGGTGACAGCCGAGCGTGAGTTAAACAATGCAATACAATACAAATACAATGCAACAATCACCATTATGTCAAGAATACAAATTAAATCAAAAAGGTTACTTACGTTTTGCAGGTACCTAAAAATTAAATTCTGCAAATATGTTAAGGGCATAATATTTCAAACGTTTTGATAAAACTGATCGAATAAACTTTCTTATGGATTAGCACGATGGTTAACATGCCAAAGATATCTGATTGTGGAAATAATAAATCGTACTCAAAACATATAACCACCTACTATTTTCAACAACGGTGCAATATACTGGAGCATAAACTATTAACAAATTGAAGAGAAACAACAACAGAAAAGACCCCAATCATGCAATACCGTCAGGTGACTGAAGGTTTGTCGAAGTTTTAAGCTAGCCGGTAAAGTTTATCATTGATAATACTCCCTCCACGACCGTTAAGGATACAATTGGCTGCACCATAACCTTCTGCACTTTCCCTCCTTTGTACGCCATTATTCTAACCTGCTTATGAGAAACAGGAAGCAAAAAATTTAAGAGCTAATCTTCGCGAAGACAAAGCTCCTTTCACACTGTAAATAAAAATGGCGGTAGACAACGAATGCTCCACGTGCGAGAAGTACGCATGCGTAGTTTGCCATTTACCGGAAACAGATGTATTCCGCGAAATGACCTCTGTAATAATAGCTATTTGATATCGCTTGTCAAGAACCATAACGAGACTTATAGCGCAATTCACGTAGTATCTCGTTGCAAACAACATACCATCATGGCGGTTTGTTTGGTTGGACACCTAGTAAGACACCACTAAAACTGCATGACACTAACAAGGCACATCTCAGATACCTAAACTGGTAATTATGTTTTTATCTGCCTTGCAGTGGTGTGGCAAGAAACCTGTTAGTTTTTTGGTGCTGATGATGTTTTGATTCTGAAAGTTTTGTGGTGCTGCAGCTGAGTGATGATTGAGACAGTGTAGACAGTGTACTACTGTTAGACTGGGTTCCCAGACCTAGATCGCTCTAACAGAATCGACCCATTTGAAGGGGGTTTGTCGCTAAATTTGCCTCAGCTTAAGCGGCTTAGATGTCTGGCACGTTTACTGAAGCTGCTTAACGATAGTTAATTACCCCCTCTGGCAGCCTCAGTACTAGTAGGCGTGACAGACATCTAAGCCGCTTAAATTGATTGCATTTCAACAAGAATCCCCTCGGATAAAGTTCAAACCACAGCTAGTACAATAGGGTTTGGGAATGGTCCCTTAGTAGTTTTACTCTTGTAATGGCAGCTCAAAATGATATCTGTTCGTCTGCATCATATCTCACGAAATGGTTAGACATGCATAGCATAGTGCCAGGCTCATTTATTGTTACCCAATTCTGTCTGCATGTCTTTGTACATCATGTTTTCAAGTATGCAGATTTTTAGTACTAAGTATATGTATCACAAGGTGGAACTTTTGTTTATTTATTATAATTTTCATTGCTTCAGTTTAATCTGTACATCGGCACAATGAGTTCAAGAAGGCCAGGGAGTGGCAGGCCACAAAGCAGGTTTAACCCAATAACGGTACGTGTAATAGCACAAATTAGTTTGAATCTTGTTATTTCACTAAAATGATATTTAATCATGCTGAAGATGTTGTTATTTTCCTGCCTTTGACTGATTAAACTCATTAATCTGAGATAGGAGAATTAAAATACACACCACATGATGAAAACCTAAAAATATTTATTTAATGCACAAATTTCAGTATTGTCATGATAGCCAACTCATTGAAATTATGTATGTAATTATACATGAAGGGTGAAGAAACCCCTCCACCAGAGAGGTATGTGGACAGTAGGGCAGCTTTTAGACCAGGAAGTAGGCCAGATAGCAGACCTCAAGAGTGAGTCCACTGTGCTACAGCAGTTACCATTTCTCTGTAAATGCATTTTATGATTTAAGTAAAACATATATCCCTACATTTACTATAATAGATATTTTAAAATTTTTAAAAAAGCATGGTATTTTTTATGTATTGAATGTGCTCCATTATTTTGAAGGGTTCCACGTTTAGAGCTTGGTAGGCTTGAGGATGCCGACGCACATCACAGACCACCATATCAACACTATGACTACAAGCTAGATACACCAAACACTGCTTCTACTGTAAGGTGACTATTTGTTTTTTCTCATATTGAAGTATTGTTAGGAAGACAAAAGAGTCATTGTTCTCTTATTTGATAGAGTTGTGATATTAATTTGTACCCATCCCATGGGAATATGTGACAATTTGGGAAATGACATGTACTTGTGGGATTTGAAAATTGGCAGGAGGGGAGATATTCTGATTGTCTTATGTGACAACTCAGAAAACTGATAGATTAGGATTTTTGGTCTGAATTAGGAGGTCTGGGAAAAATTTCCCTGATATGAAAGATCCAAAGAAAATCAGGAAATTTGACAGGTCTGTTCATCCTCTTCATATTATTGTCAGTGTCTCAGTATTTTTCAATAAATCAGAACTGCTACATAAGTTTATTGATTCACTCATTAAAAGTACATGTTTACCTTTAACTATTGTGCATGACCACCGTTAATTTCAGTTGGGGCACACCTGTTCCATCAGAGAGAGAAAACTTTTATTATGGGGGTGCAGGAGATTCATATCCTCAAACTATACAGACACCAAGAATGGTATGTACATGCCTTTTTATGTATGTAATTGAAATATTAGATGTAAACTGCCTAGTAGGCACAAACTTTAGTTTTTAGTTTTTGATATCATTGAATACAATTAAATTATGAAAATATAAGTGGCAGTTTTGTAATGCATTTAAGTGTTCTTAAACTAGGAGGCTGGAAAGCAAAGTAGGAGACAAGACGAGGTCCCAGTTGTTGATGTAAAGCAAAAGACAGTAAGTTGGAAGTCTTTATGTTGAAAATAAGACACGAAAAAAGGTTCATTTCCTATTTTGCCTTATACTTTGGTAAAGCAAGATATCAAGAAGCTTTGTGTTTGGTTCACTATATCACCTGTTGATGTCACACAATAGCAGTGCTTGTGAATAAAATGAAGTTTTGCAAAGATATAGTTTTTCATTCAGGGAAAATGATTTTCTATTTATTTCTAGGTTCCTCCTTCCTCTGACAGACTTTATAAAGAGTATGGAAAAGAATTGCTTGAAGCATATAACCAGTCCCACATAGTTCAAGAGAAAGTGCACAAACACATGACAAAGGTGAACATTTTTAAATTGTATATAAGATTCAATATCTGTAATGATTCTTTTTTAATTCAGAGTAGATGTAATATTACAAGAGAGTGAAACTATGAAAATCATAGTCGACATTTTTCGGCCAATTCTCAGCCAACATTGTCATCCATTAAAATCAACAGATGAAGAAACCAGCAAGCTTTGATTGTAGTAACTGTATACATTTATATATCCCATAAAGCAGTGCAACCAGTGGCCCAGCTCTGAGTCTCCAGCTGTCACTGACCATAGGGATACATTGAATAAGATATGGACTGATGGTGACATTAGATCCAAGAAATTTTTAATCAAAAAACAAAATGCAGTAGGTCTGAAGTTAGATTCATACACTTAACTGTTATAATTAATATTTGTCAGTTTGTAAAACTTGTTGTTTTGGAGAACTTTGGATGCATTGTTCTTTATGTTGAGCTGAAAATAATAACCTTGGTCATCTGTGTTCTTTTGTCATTTAAGTTGTTTACAGTTAACAAAAGATATTGAAAATTAATAAAATCATAGCTTTTTGATAAAATAATCAGAATGCAAACAGAATGGCAGTAACAATAACAAAGGCAGCTCCCAGGATGTGAAGGAGGGGGCTTTATTTCATCTTTCATTTTAAAGTTAAAAAGTAACAGATAAAGTGTGAACTCGTTTTGCGACAAAAGTGAACAATTCAACCTGGAAAATATGATAAACATGACCCAGCAACTAACTTAGTTTTCATTTGTTGACAATAACAATATTAACTATTTTGCATATCATTTACCCAAAAAAAATTGTTATCATTTTATCATTCGATATTTTTTCACTTAATTAAGCTCAAAGGATATTAGTTTTATATTTTTATTATTGATTTATGGCAACAAAGATGATACTGCAACAAGACCATCATGTTTTTAGTATAAATATCTACAAAAAGGAAAGAAGAATAGAGATCTTATTTTATTATTAATGAGTAGATTGACATTTTGATTAAATTTTTTTTCTCCACAGGAAGATGTTGAAGAGGAGAAGAAAAAACAAAAATTACTTGATACAGTTATGGTAGATCAGCTGTCAAGGTAACAGGATACTTTACTATGGTGTTCCTTAACACAGCACTTGGTCTTTATTTATTGAATTATGTTCGTTTTGATATGTTTTCATACATTTTGTCTGCACTCAAGATTGTCATAATGCATCTGCATTGAAAGCAATGTCACAATATTCTTGGATTACAGCAGGTTATATTACAAACCCAGTATGTAGTAAAAGTCCATTACGGTCTTGATATCCAATTGTATTACATGCCTGAATGGATGGATTATTATTATCATCTCTGCCAAAGACAGATTTTGATAAACTGTTCAGGATAGGTCAGAAACGGGCTTACTTATAATTGATTAGATATTGGTGGTTACCCATTTATTGATTAATAATTATGAAATTAGATCATCTTGGAGAAGGTCCTCAGACTCTTAATCATTTTCTAGTTATTTCCATACTTCTTATTGTTTCAGGGCAGTTATCAGTGACCCTGACCAGGACCAGAACATTCCAGAAACTCCACCTCACCACCTCCCAGGGATGTCTAGGGGAGCCATCAGGCACCTGCACGAGTCCAAGTAAGTCTGACATCATGGAGCAATGATTAAATGATATGTACTGTATAATGAATGATAAGATGTGAATAGTTATAGAAACTAGTGATATAAACACAGAGCTACCTTAGTACTTATCATCACAATATTTGAAATGGAAAATATGAATCAAATGTGTATGGTTCCTTTGAAACTTATTTTTGTCTTGATTAGAGTGAAGACCACAGGAACGGCAACAGAGCAACTGCTTGCCCAAAGAGTTAGATTTGGGGCTAGAGTACTTACAAGGTAGGACATGACTTTGACAATATTAAATGGAAGATCACACTTAGATATACATTGAGTCAGTATACAGTAAACTCTTGTTATAATCAGCTTTTTGATATGGCCACTTGATTTTATTCAGGGTCACATTTCAGTTGTTATATGAATTGACATTTAAAATGGCAGGATTTACTTTCTTTATGCAAATAAATGAAGTATTTGTATGAGTTTTACTTGCCTACATAGGTTCATGTCAGCAACAAATATGTTTTGATAAGGCTGACATGTATTTTCTTTAATAGTATTGTAAATAAAACATTTGAATTTTTTTTACAAAATACCTTAAGTATAGAAATGAACAATTATGTGTTTAGTTGTAGTTAGCAAGATATTGTCATGAAGTATGAACTTCATGAATTGTGTAATAATGAAATGCTTTTCTTTGGTTTTTATTCTTTTCAGGAATGGACATGATGCCATCCGTGAATTAGAGGGATTCTTTTTTGCGGTGGACAATTCTCTAACAGTGTATGAGTTTAAACAGTTTGGTAAAAGGTTAGATCATGTTTTTCTTAAGTCTTCTGTATGAAACATTACCCCCCACCACAGACCCACCCATCCCCTACTACAGACCTACCTGTCCCCCCACCACAGACCCACCCATCCCCTACTACAGACCTACCCATCCCCCCACCACAGATCCACCCATCCCCTACTACAGACCTACCTGTCCCCCCACCACAGACCCACCCATCCCCTACTACAGACCTACCCATCCCCTACTACAGACCCACCCATCCCCTACTACAGACTCGCCCATCCCCCACTACAGACTCACCCATCCCCTACTACATACTCATCCATCCCCTACTACATACTCACCCATCCCCTACTAGAGACCTACCATCCCCCACTACAGACCCACTCATTGATTTCAACTGTCTTTGATGTTCTCTACCCATTTTCCCCTTCCTATAAGAGTATATTTTAAATGATATATACTATGTTAATTGCCATTAAAGTTCAAGACAGTTTATTTTATTGTTGATGTGTATGTAAGATATGTTATAGCAGGATTTTGAATTGATTGTTTTTAGTGCCAAGGCATTACCATTTATAGCCAGAGGAACATATCGTCACATGCACGGCAGAAGAAGAGGGCAGCCCATCACGTTACCTGATATTGTAGTGGTAATTATATCATAATGCCCCTTTTTTATCTGATTCAGTATAAGAAGAGTCACATTGATGTTATGTTTACTATTCTGGATTCCATATTCCTTATTGTGTTAATGATTATCATTGACTTGGCATCAAACACCCCTTGCTCTGCATGTTCGTTATATGGTAATACAAAAAGTCTCCTCAATCACATGTAAGTGAAGTATTATTCTGTTCAGTCAATACTTGATAAAATATGTATCTAAATATGACATCATCAGAACACTTGTTTGTTTTTACCTGGAAATCATCTGGACATTTTGACTATATTTACATGTATTCTTACAATAATTAAAAAGTATTGTAAATAAGCATTTTTTATCTATTTTTCAGGGAAATAATTTATCTTTTTCAGTCCAAGGCCAACATTCCTTGCCAGATTCTCTTAAGATTTACCCCACAGTGACAATCAGAGTGACGATGGTGGATGATAGTGCAAAAGAGAAAATACTGTAAGCGCAACTTGGTACATTTTTTTATACGTCAACTAGTCTAAGTATGATACTGCGTTGAATGTCATAATAAGTTCCATGTGAAAAAGGGTAGGCCATAAAATAATGGTATATAGAAGAAATTTGCTGGTTCTTTCAAATACTAACCTGAAAAAGATGCATCTAAAATATTGTTAGCCGAATATGGATTTATAGCATACAACTATGGCCTACCCTTTTTCACATGTCTTTTCTCAGCTGGTCGTCTGGTAAGCCAAGCTTGCCAAGGGTAGGAAGATGATTTTTTCTGCTTTGTCCACCATGATCTTCCCCCACTTCTTGGTGAGTTTCATTTTAGGAAAGGCAGTCATTATGACTGCAACCCTGGTGGTCTGAACAGCTGCCAGGATTTATACAGGTGTGAGGAGCATTGTCCTCCACTGTCAACTTTATTATGTTACCTGAAAATTTTATGCAATGGAGATTTTGGGTTTAAACTTAAGAGATTAAAGTTGGATTTTATCTTTATTTTTTAGTATGCCAAATGTTTTACCATCCAAGAAGGATACTACTTGGGCTCAGCTACACATGCCAAGTAAAGAGGAATTCAGAGACATAAGGCTGCTCAGGGAGATTCAGGGTAGGTGGTTGAAGCTTTCATTTTATACATATATTCTTTATCCACCATTTCTCTATATCAACATGAAAAGATGGTGTTTCAGTGTATAGGTAATACCCATTCACAATGTCTAGTAATACAAAAAGCTTTTGAATCTGTCTTTGAAAGGTAATTATTACACATGTTGTTTACATTTTTTAAATGAATCCATGCAGATCAAGTCCGCCATAAACTAAAGAAGCGTGGCATCAGAACAGTGACGGGGCTGGGGTTGTACTTCCGGTCCGTAGACAAGACGGGGGATGGGGTGCTGGACATGGAGGAACTGAAGGAAGCACTTGCCAAGTTTAGGATAGAAATCCCTGAAGAGGTGGGAACTTACGACTACAGTAAATCCATGTTAGTCTAACAATATTTTAGATGCATATCTTTTTCAGGTTAATATTTGAAAGAACCAGCAGATTTTATCTGTATGCCATGATTTTAAATGTGTGCACTGACGAGTTTTTCTGTTGTTTTAGTTTTCCACCATGGTTTGTAATATTACTGTTTCAGAAATTTTATTCGGTGTGGGATGTACTAGATCAGAATGGAGATGGGGTTTTAGATTATGGGGAGTTCATGAGAGGTTTCATAGGAGAGATGAACGAATATAGAAAAGGCTTAGTAAGAAAGGTAAGACACTAACTTATATCATTGTCAAGTGCTTTATAATAGAGAAAGTTCTGTTAGAAAAAAAAAAAAACCCTCGTCTTAAAATGCTTTCATCCCAGACCTTTACCAAGGACTCAAAGTACTTACAGCTCTGTGCTGGTGGTAGAAAAATATAAAATCCACGGGCTTTTTCTCCTACTTTTGTTGAAAATCTAGGTGTTTACTGGTCTTAATAGAAATGACAGACACTATCATGGAGCATTATTCTAAGGGGCAAATGGTAGCCACAATTCTATAGGTCTTTAGGTTGGACTTCTCTCATTATACATATGTAACATATGTAACTTGGCATGTCTGTTTACCTGTCATGTATATGACCAGCTTTGCTTGGAACAATGAAATCTAGATAACAGAATATTCTTTAAGAAAAATGAGCATGCCAAGTAATAGAAAAATACAAGATCTCTTATTTCATTTTAGGCATTCCAGAAATTAGATGCAAATAAGAGTGGAGTAGTTACGCTGACCAATATGAAGAAGTTCTTTAATGCAAACAAGCATCCATTAGTGAAGTCTGGCAAGTATACTGTCAAATCTTCAGTGTTTGTTGAAATAATGTTCATGTATTTCTTTACTTTTATTATATTCATTAATTTTGTGATAAAGATTAAATATTTTGTTGTCATTTGCAGGGGAGGCCTCAGAAGCAGAGGTATTGCAAGATTTCCTGGAATCCTTCGAGCATTGTGTAAAGAGTGGTGAAGTGTCTTATGTAGAGTTTGAGGAATATTATGAAGGCCTCAGTATAACCATAGAGAATGATGAACATTTCTCCAATATCTTGAGAAATTCTTGGGGCATTTAAGGACATCAAACATTGTAAATCTTAAAATTTACATTTATGCTTCTGAATCAGTGAATTTAATATTTCTAAAAGCTTTACCACTGCTATTACTTTGAAGAAACCATAGGGTTTCTAGTGTTCAGAGTCTTTGTTCTGCAAGTAGGGGCAAGCATATGATCATTTTGATAGTGGGCTCATGATCTTTTGTAAGTTTACTATTCTTTGTTTAAAATGAATTAATAAGTTTCTTTTACAATATATATACTTTTTTTTTTTACTTCAACCAATTATAAGATTGATTTTAAAGCCTTTATTTTACATACAAGATATTTGGCATTTTCCTTTTTACATGTAAATGTGAATAAAGGCATGTGTATTTTCATTCATAAGAGTTATTCATATGTACATCTACTGATCAAAAACAAAATCCACACCTCAATTAAGTTGTCCCACTGTACAATGAAGTGGGGGGGGGGGGGGGCATCAATACAATGCCCAAATATTCAGAGTTCTGGATTAATGCAGAACACTAAACCAATAACTATGTCATCCGTTTTAGTCTTTCCTGATGGCGTTTCTTTTCAACACGTGTGTGATGTTGAACAACTTCTTTAAATATTTCATTTTGCTCCTCCTCAGAAATATTTTTTCTGTATTCCTTCATAAGGTCATACTTTTCCCATGGTTTAACAATTTGTGATAATTTACGCATTCGCTTTTCTGGCAGCTCTGGCAGATCTATTCCCTTAAGGTCCTCCCTCTTTTCCCATCTTTGTGTCCAAGGTGGCGGATTCAAGGGGATCTGCAAAATCATTCGGTAAACTCAGTAATTCAAACTGATAACCATATGATAATTATATAAACTTTGAACATATATTTATATGCTCCTTAATAGATGTTTATGAAAAAAGTAAGTTTAAAGATTCAAACCATGTTATTACTTGCTGATACATAAACGTCAGATCATTTTTTTTTACTAACTTAACATGAGAGACCACAAAAAACACATTTCACCAAGATAATTCAGAGCTCTACCAAAGAATGTTTTCAGGTGTTTAACCTTACCTTTTTCATGTTGACTGGCACTGTGGCCCCAAGTGGAAGAGTTTCCGGTTTACGATCAAAAGTTATAGTGCTGTGTGTCGCAGGTGCATCCCTCAAGTAGAACAGTTCCTCATCTAATCTTTTCTCTAGTTTCAACACCTCTATATTTTGCAATGTGGGGTTATAAAGGTCATATTTGATCTCCACACCTAATCATTTCAGAAAGAAAGAAAAAATCTCCATTATATTTAACTTTTTTATGAAGATAGCAAAATGGTGAAACTGTCAGCAATCATCATTCAAACTGCAAATGAATAAATTTCTCTGGTCATATCAAATATTCAAATTCAAGTCAAGGGCCGTCAGGCCTGCAGCAAACAATTTAAAAGGAGAGTGGGGTTTTCTTTTTCTCAAAACTTGGACATTTCTATCCCCTTAGCTGACCCAACTTGACAGGTGGCGCAGAACCTAAATCATATTTTGTGACTAGGGGTGGCCTTTTTTAGGCCAAAAAGGCCAGTTCTCTCAATCTACTGTGCCCCCCAAGTGTATTTTAGCTGTTGCAAAACTTAATTCAAAATGTTACTTTAGAATTTTCTCTGTTGGTACTAGTACCTTGTCCATCTATGTGGTTCCTCAGAGTGAAGTTTGCCCGTAAGCCATGACCATCTCGGTGAATGCAGATCCCAACAAATCTGCTCTGCTTGGAAGGCACATGCTGATCTGCTACAGTTACTCCTAAGATTGAGCCTATAATGTACATGAAAATTATCTTCAAAATGGTTTAAGGTTATTTTTATATAGTACTGTCAAGATGATGATGATGATGATGTGTGTGTGCGTGTGTCAAAATTTTCCTACATACCTACATAAAATTCTGGAATATCTAACACAAGCCTTCTTCGTAGCATGTCCCTACGTTGTAATTTTTCTGCTACGCGATCCCTCTTTTTCCAATCTGGATGTGGTAAAAATTCAGGGAAGATGTACCTGAAAGTTGATTAAAGTTGTGGCATTATAAATGGGTCTTGCATAATATCTATTGCATCTTGTCATTTCATCATATCACAACGAATTATATCATTCACATTTTGTCTTGTCAAATTTTCAACTAAGTTTATCAGTCTGCATCAGGACATGGAGTGATAAGTTTTACTCGGGTGTTGTTATGTCTTATTAATCTGTCAATTGATCAGCTGGGACAATGGATGACTCTCCCCTTAGACCCCCCCCCCCCCCAAATGTGGTTCCCCAAGATTCCATCATATACATACATACATAAGAGTTCTTGGTGTAATTTACCATATTATCTGATACAGAACACAGTTTTAAGACTGCTCCAGACAAATGTGGCATCATTCCCTGGTACCAGTTAAGATATCACTCTAGGTTGTAAACAGATTTCACATAGTTTGTATTTGTTTAATTGGACAAATACAATCAATGTCTAGTTTATAAAGACTTTGAGAATATTTTTTTTTAGATAACTTATCAATCTGGGATTATGGACTTCACTAAGAGGGCTCTCAAGATTATTAAAGCTCTTTGAAAAAAAAAATAGTTACTGTTATTCTTTCTGTTGCTGCCACTGTACCACTGTAACAACTGAAGTACAGAAGGTACCACAAGGCATAATTTGAAGTAGCTGTCATCTATCAGTACCCAAGTTAAATCTTAAACGAAAATTGTGAAAAACCTTGGAAATATTTTCATACAGGAAGTAATTATAACATTTACTTGTTCTGCCCATATCAACTAGTCACAGATGGAGTGCATAAATCATTTGCTTGGAAAGATTATTTCCTAAAATACTGGTCTTTCAAACCTGAACTCTGTAGGTGCAGCATGTCTCAATCTCTCTGATTCAACCCTGGTGGCATTTAGAGGAGAATCCCGATGTTTTTCTATGGTCCAGCTTGGAACTTTTTCATGGCCTTTCTGTGGTCTATCATAGGATCTGTAGAAGGCACGTGGGTTAAACACTGAAATGCAAAATTAAAATAACACAGTAAGGTCCAACTCTTCTGTCTCTAGCACTTCGTCTCCTGTCTTAAGCACAAGAATTTGGTTGTACTTATTGGGTGAGTAAGTGTCAGACTAGGAACCACTAACAGTTTAATAAAGTAAAAACTTTACATACTTGAAACTGCTACTGATTGTGATGTTGATGAGCAGGACAATTCATACAGTTGATAATGAGTGTTCAGACTTCTCAAAACTCATTTGCCAATAAAACCCTTTGGCCTTTTTTTTTGTATTTACAAATAGATCAAGAGAGTGTTGCTCATAAAAAGATATTAAAAATACTGAGATCTGACCCTGAGCTTCATCAGCAATTTAAGACTTACCAAACAGTGAATACAAAAATGTAAATGCATGTAGATGTGCTAGAAGTTAGAACCAATAAACAGTGAAACCGAATCCAATAATTGAGCTTAAAGCCTCCATAAAAAATAAACGATGTCTTTCCTTGCAGATTATCCAATTACAAGTTTCGGTACATAGGCTAAATTTACTAAATCCCCTGTAATATTCTCATTCTATGTAATTGCAGTGCTTTGTAGTGCAGTCAGATTTTAAAACCCGAATCTACTTGAAAATGTCAGGAGAAAGAGTAGAGGGAGATAACATTAATCAGATTCTTTTATATCTTACGCATGCAAACTCCTTGTAAACATAAACATATGCACTGCAGCGGAGGCTTTACCTGGTAAATGTCTTGATGTTTGCAACACTCGGCACGACGTTTTTAGAGAAGCCATGCTTAAACGCACTTTTGTCAATAGATGGCGCTCAATGTCGTAGAGTTGAAACATATTTCAGAAAACACGATCAAGAGACCTGTCAAATACCACCCTTTTATAAGATTGTTTGGAAATTTAGAAAGATATTTCAAATAGTAATTTTTAAAAGGATCTCGGAAAGCAGTAGAAAGCACAGTTATATTGGCTTATCTTAGGTGTCCGCCTATCGGGGTATCTGAAAACTACAAATCTTGGTGTTAAGATGAAGGTTACAGGTGAGAGAGATTAAGTCTTGTAAAATCAGTTTTGCGGTGATATTTTGCACTATCTATTTACTGTAATATAACCGGTGTGACAAATGGAAACCAGCATATAACTGTCTATAATAGACAGTTATATGCTGGTTTCCATTTGTCACACTCTATATCATTCTTTATCTGTTTATCCCGAGCACCGGGCACCTGAACTTCAGATGTTCATGCATGTACAGTACATGTACTGGGGTACATGTACAGTACTGCAATGTACACTGTACTGTACTTGTAACAGAAGTATTCCGAATAATTGGTAATTGTATGTAGACTGTAGATGTGTGATGTACACGGATGTACAACTTAAGCTCTGGAGATTTAACTGCATGGCAGTTACGTTTGGCCATTAACATTTTCTTTAAATAATGTCTTTTTGTGTCATGCCTCCTGATGGTGGTATATATAGCAGCTGCCGGTAGCACAGAATTCAATTCATGGGATAATACATCGCAGTATTTTGTTACCAAACAACCTTCCACTGCATACCGTGGAAGTTGCATGGCCAACATGATTATTCAAGAGTTTGTTTCCGAGTGGAAACAATTTTCAACATATTTATGTCGAATTTACCAGTAGAATTCTGTTTGTTGTGGTCATTGCCCCATTGATAGCATGTGTATGATTCAAAATACAGATAAGAATGTAAAAAAGTTTTCTAGTGCATGGATTTTTTCTAATCTTACCAGTAGAGGTGACATGCATATATATATTCAGAAGGACTATGTTCAATGTGTTTAAGGTCATCCCAGCACTAAAACTGGTATTATTTTTCTTTTTAGGTATCATAAAGAGATGAGGTATAGAAAAGAATGAGGAGTGGAACCATTATGTGGTAAAATGAGGAATAAAATAACGTAATCTGCACTAATGAAATGAAGAGGCACAATGAAGAGAAGGATGAGGGTATTCCAAATCCTAAAGCACTGAGGTTACAAACCCCCAATTCCTCTGTGAAGAGGGCAGGTCCATATCTTCTGGGTAATACTTTTTTAAATTGCAAAGTTACTATTATAAATGTTTGCAGTACAATGTATATATAGTATTTGTAGAGGAAGATAATTTTTTAATGCTTTTGCTTTAATAGTCATTTATTTAGTCTTTTTTTTTCTAATAAAATTTGTAAAAGATAAGTGTATTGACTTTTTTTTCACATTTTTTTACTATATTAAGGAAATCTTAATGTATAGCCATAAAGTATATTTAGAATATTAAATTACATTTTGGATATTATTTGATAGAAAGGGGGCTTTAACATGAAGATTCAGAGTTGCCGACACCACAGTACTCAAAGTGCATAGACCTATTGTCCAACATCTTACTGACAATAGAATATAAAGCACCTGCAGTCATGGAGAGTCTGTTCTAGAAAAATAATGTGTAGAATATGAGGAAATATGTAAATTTAGCAGTTGTAAGGATGACAAGGAAGAAGTTTGAATGTATTTTACATGTTATTAGGACCAAGACTTGGGAGCTCCCCAGTAAGGAGTGTTGTTCAGTGTCTGGCTAGAAAAGATGGCACGGATGATTTCTACACTCTCAAGGTATGGAAGTTTTACAGATAAGTGATTGCAATCTTAGGTGCAACATTGACTGGATCTTTTCAGATTCAATGGGGAAATTATGATCTTTTTTAGATAGTGTATTTTTTAAGTCATAAATTCTTAAAATTGAAACATTCTAATTTCTTATTGAATGGTTGCAACAAAATTGGAAAGGAAGCTACCCTGTAGTTCTGGTCTAGTCTGTAAAGGAAGCTACCCTGTGGTTCTGGTCTAGTCTGTAAAGGCACCACATGCGCTACACAAAATTATATTTTATATCATTCCATAATAATGTATTTGAAATATTGATTATTTTCCCCATTGAAAATAAATACTGTATTCTTTAAAAGTATATTATAATGATATAATTCTCAACAGGACCAACAACTAGTTAAACTAAGACACATTTGCACCATTTGTACAAGGTTTACCGTTGAGGATTATGGACATATTACACAATAAAAAGGCATTTTTTACTTAGGATATGCCTCATTTAATTTTTAGTCCTCTTTAAGTTCCCTTGTTTGCATTATGCCGTTTAGATTCTGACCATGCCAGACAAAGACAAGGAGACCCAGGATGACAGACAGGGGAAGATGTTGCTGCATACAGAGTATTCCTTGCTGTCTTTGTTACACAACCAACAGGGGGTGGTGCACCACCATGGGCTCTTCAAGGTACAGTACCTCCTTTATATTGACTAGGAGCCCATTCAGATCTATCAGAACATCCTGGGATCTTCTATCTTCTATGAATGGCTCTAGGTCATTATGATGTCATGCTCCATATAATTTATCCTTTTGAATTGTGTGACAGTTAATAAAGGACCGATAAGGGTAAAAATGTTTTTGTTATAAGATATCCCATGGAGGAGGAATAAGTGTGACATCAACATTTATAAAATATGAATGTCAAGTTCAAACTTTTTTTCACCTGTGGATTGAGTAAACTTCATTGATTTTCATGTAGGATATGGCCTATGAAGAATCAGATGATGCAGGCAACCCACCAAAGAAGCACACTCGTCTTTGTCTGGTTCTTGATTGTTTGACGCCTCATGACTTTAGCAACAAAAACATTGACCTGATTAATCTGCAGCATTATGTTATTAAGGAGAAGAAACTCTCAGAAAAAGAAGCCATTGAAATTTTCTTTGAAATTGTCAAAGTTGTTGAGAATCTGCACAAGGTAAGTTGGAATTTACATATTTTGAATGAAATTTATTTCAGTTGGTAAAGATATTATCATTTACATCTTGGGTTGACCTGTCATTGAATAATACATTTAACTGATTTTTGGCATGAAAAGTGAAGATAAGAATTAATAGATTTAAAACATGTTGTATTTTTGTAATGTTTATCCCTCTACAATATTTTTTTTAGAAAAACATAGTTCACAGAGATCTGAAACTGGGAAACATGGTGCTAAACACAAGGACGAGGCGAGTGATAATCACAAACTTTTGTTTGGGGAAACATTTGATATCTGAACATGATTTGCTCAAGGATCAAAGAGGCAGTCCAGCTTACATCAGCCCTGATGTGTTAAGTGGTAAGGTTGATATACTAATATATGTTTTAGTTATGTTAAAAGAGAGACCCAGAGAACAATGTAAGTAGCTTTAAATCTCTGTGGATTTGTTTAGTTTTTTAAAGCATTGCCACATGTTCATTCATTTTTAGAATAGGAGGCAGAATTGTGTAGTTCTAATCAAGAAACTAATGGAAGAATGTGTTAGAGGAGATATCTTCTAATGTGTCTCACCTAACACAATTTTGTAGGCAAACCTTACTTGGGCAAACCCAGTGACCTATGGGCTTTGGGTGTTGTGTTGTTTACTATGCTGTATGGACAGTTCCCATTCTATGACCAAGTGCCACAAGAATTGTTTAGAAAAATAAAGGCTGCAGATTTTACAATTCCAAAGTAAGCGAGCAGTTTTAATCTGGTAAACTAAGTTTTTTTTTTTGACAATAAAAATACCTCATTTGAAAAGTTGATATTTCACATGGAATTTATTGAATCGCTTTTCATGCTCATTTAAAGCCTCAGAAAACATAAATTTATAGTCACAAATGTAAGTAGACAATTTTGATTCATTTTCAGTGATGGGCGTGTCTCAGACAGTGCTGTGATGTTGATAAAACGTTTGCTGGTGCTAGACCCTAAAGTTCGACTGACAGCTGGACAAGTTCTGGAATCTCTTAGTGCTATCATAAACACATGGTAACAGAAGTCTGTATTATATCTGTAACAAGAGGCAAGGCAGTATTTTGAACATTGCTTTTATACAGTTTGTACTAGACAGAAAAATTCTTCCAAGTTGCATGAACTCACCTTTATTTTATTTTTTTTCTAGGAAGTCTATGACAATGCTAACAGGTCCTTTGCAAGTAGTACCAGACATAGAAAACCCAGAGAATTGCCCAAGCACCTCGGCCCCAGTGAGTTCACCGACAAAGCCACGGTCAGGGATGAGCGACTTTGAGATCAAACTGCGCCAGGCCCAGACCACTGCTGAAGCCAGTAAAGAAAGGAAAGCTGTGATGGCGGTAGCTAGGAGGAGTAGGCAGCCAGCCACAGGAAATAACCCACCAATTAGGAGACTTAATCAGGATTCCAGACCACTCTCTACTGCTGAAATCATGGCACACAGACATTTGTTACAGTAAAATGGTTTTTGTCTTATTGTAAAAAGTCAAACAGATATTGCTTTTGAAAATGATCAAACAAGACATGATGATGATAATTGTTTTTTTTTTAATGTAATGATATATTGGTAGTAATTTTAATACTTCATAGAATGCGAAAATAAAAGTTCATATGGTAAAAAAAATTCCTTTGAAAAAGTCATATATACCTTGCATGATAGAGAATTATTTTGTACTAAATGCTTCACTGGCTCTTTAAAGAAAATTATACAATGTAAACTTTTATACATTTTTTTTCATTGTGTTGCATGCATTACATGAGAACTATCAAGCTTCAGTGTGAAACTGTATACATGTTAGTGGGCTACAGTAGCACATGTTCTAAAATGTTACTTTTTACTTGTGATGAGAATTACATTTTAGCTGAAGAGAAACATAGCCAATTCCTTGGTATCAGATGTTGTAAAAGTATTTTTGACTTATGTCAGTTCACTTAACAAAAGGAAAATGGTGCTCCAATTTACTAAGGTCTGTTAATTGAATGTTATTGAAAAAACACTCCGTTTCTCTGCTTATTTAAGAGTTAAGTATATGTCATGTGATCTAGTGAAAATGTCTGGATAATGGGAAATACTTGTGATTACTGCAGTATGGTTTGGGTTATCTGTATGCCAGAAGTTTAAATGTATTTTTTTTATTTAGTAAAATACATCATAGATTTTGATGGATAGATTAGTCAGATTAACTGATCATTGTAAAAGAAATTTTACTGATAAGCGATTAGTTTTTTTAAACATGCAACTCAAATAATAATTTCAATAAACTGAGTTTAAAATTCTTTTACTTTGGTCCTTGAAGTATACCCTTGTGCTTTTTTCTCTGTTTCGTGTATATATAAATTACATTAATTTTTATGCTTCAGCTATTATTGGCCTATTCCAGAATAGTTTGTGGTATTTTTATGGTGTAACTTATCAGGTATCCCTTTGTGCATCATAAAAAAGATATTTGTAGCAATTATGTTAATTAAAGTTCACAAATGGGAATTAGACTTGCATCTGAGCAACATGTTTTGAAAACTAGCAAGATTCCAAATGGTATCTCCATATACAACACTAGAATAAATTTCACTTCAGTATTTATCAAAACAATTCATATGAAGGATACAGTTTTTTATAATGAATTACTTTACAGATAATTGTACATGTAATATCAAGACTTGACTGTAATAAAAAAAGGTTTAAAATTGTATACTGTGGAATATATAAGCATTTTAATAAAGTGGAACATGCCTTGCCTACTCAAAAGAAAAAAAAATTGATTTTGATACTGTATTCTTAAAGGGCTATTCAAGTAGGTGCTGTAGAAATAAAAGGTAACATTCATGTAAATTCTAACAGGGTGAAGATTTTGTTTTGACACTCCTATTTAATTAAATTATGAAATTAGATGGTGCAAGTAGATGACGCACACAGTTTGAATATGCAATTCTCGTCGTGTTGCTTGTCTGTTATACAAGTTTTATTACTTAACAGTGCCTTCTGCACGTGTTTTCTTTATTTTTTTCGTAAGAATCTCTTGCATACATTGCTCCTTCCCACCTTTTAACATAATTTCAAAACTCATTTTGGTAGGTGTTTGGTCATTGTATAAATAGCCCCCACTCCTTCAGTGGGGCTTCTGTATGTCTTTCTTGTCGGTCATGTTACGACTTCTTAGACCATAGCCTTTATTATGTTTACGTTTTTAATGAAGCAGGTGAACTGACATTGACATTTACATATTTGTGTTCCCTGATGTGCATTTTTCCAAGAATGCATTACCAAGATAGTAAAACATTCTTTATTTTACCATTAAATAATTTCTGCTCTTATTCCTGATACAATTAAAAGGGCGTGGGAGATTAACTGATTTTTTATATAAATCATTTGGATTTAGAGCTTGTTAGCTTTGACATTGTCAAAACCAAACTGGAGAAATTTATTAATAAATCACGACTGTTTTCCTCGCCACATGCCAGAGAAGTAGGGCGGAAAGCAATATTCTCGTTATTGGAAAATTAGAAGTCGCCCACTCCCTTTGACATGTTTTTGTTTTGGGGAAAGTAATTGACTTAACGCTTGACTATACCTTGTTTAATCGGGTCTGTGGCGCTTGTTTTGTATGCACGTGAAAGAAAGAAACAACTGTTATTTGGCAAATATTATCATTTCAAACAATAATACACGATAAGTGAGAGCACACACTGCAGCGAGTAGAAATTAAGTCTGACCGATAAAATTTGTCTGGCGCACGCTGAACCTTGTAGCGCTCTACATAGGCACGCCAGGCTGGCATCATCCCCATTACAGTTTATATCAATAACTGTATTGTTGAATTTCTATATTGTCAACTGAAATTCCGCTTCATCTGCTTGCATTTACCTCAGGGATAGTTCCGATACGCGGAGTCACATTTACAAAAACAACAGACTCGTACTGTTAAGGGGAAGAAAACGCTCGGGGAGACGTTATAATGAATTTAATTGTCTTACGTGGGAGGTCATTTGTCAGACTTCATTCTTAGTTTAAGAAATTAATTTACCTGAACTCGTCTGCACCCCGCGCTTTCACCTGGGGGTTAAAACATATTCGTGACAATTATAGGCAAGGAAAGTGGAATGTCCTGTTATTAACAACGGGTTCATCATTCCGCTCGCTGTCGGAGGTTTAGCTGTACCTGCTTTAAACTCATCTCGAGTTATCGTCAAAAATTGGACAGTTTAAGTCAGGTGACTAAAATATCTGCAGGTGACGTAGGCTGGAATAAAGAAATTGTTGACATGAAAAAAGGACACTTTGTCCAAAATCTAGCGATAATCACATTGTTGCTTCTAATATTTGGTGTTATATGCTTTAGCCCGATCATCGAATGGTATTTTTATCATGTCACAAATAGTAACAAGTACAGAGTACTTACATTTTTACTTACATTTTTTTCTTTGTCAAATTTTCGACTGACTTTGTCAGTTCTCATCAGATCTTATCGGGGGATCTGCTAATCAGTTACGCAACGGAAAAAAATAACGATCTTCCAATGTTAGATATATGAAGCCTTTGGGCTTGTAATTCAAAACCTCGATTTGTTGCAGATAGTAAATTTTCATGGTCTTATATGAATACTGAAGAAATCGCCCTATTAGTAAAGAAAAGAAAAAAAAAGGTGAGAGAAAATAGAAACGCGAATAGAATAACCACTTTCATTAATGAAACAGTCCGTTCGTCATACATGTAAATCCTTTTTGTCATTTTTTCTGGACTTCCTACCGGTTTAAATCAAATATAATAACCCAATATATCAAATATTCTTTCTTGAAGCTTAAAAGAGCTCACCCTAGGTACATGTAAGTTCATGTTATGGGTTGCACATTTGACTTGACCTTGCATCAAAAGCCAACGATATTGATTTTACATAACAGGTTGATCACATCCACGAGTAACAATGACGAGTAAGCCAAGGTGAAGACTTGGACTTGATGTGGGTGCAGGTGGGAAGAAAGATTTGTCAAAAGGATTGCTGGGGCTTAAAATCTCCAGCGACATCCTGTAAATTATTCCGTCGTTTTAATATTTGCTGCCAGTTGACGCCATTTGAGTAGGCGGAATAGGATATGTTGGTAACATTTCCTGTGTACCCTGATTCTGGAAAAAAAAACGAATATCAAACAGTTATGATTGTTCTCAAAAATGAAACAAGGGAAAAAACTCTTGTTCAGTTTTTCTTTAAAAACTTTGGTAAAAATGCAGTCTGTTCGACTGCCTTATTATCTACACTTTTTTCTACCGTTTGTGCTATTTTGCCATTTTGTAAGAGAAATTACGAAGTTTGTCGAGTTCATTTTCACATTGCTGCTTCTAATTCATTTTCATTAAGGAGCTCGCACCGCGTATATTGATATTACTATCATTTTTATCGTAGCATCGCTGTTTTAGAATATAAATTTCTTCTGGTATATCAAACAGCATCCAAGTACACGTACATCTATCCAGGCGAGTATTTTAAGGGTCATTTAGTATAAGGAAATGGATCCCTGAAATAGGATACTCGTTCATCGAACCAAAGTTATCAATGATATAGACTGTGAAAATATTTTTTCCGGTGCAGAAATCACAGAAGAGTAACCACACATCGCAAACTAGTTTGTAAAAAAAGTCGAGACCAAAGGGTCTATCTATATAGTTTGACAATTGGGAATGTGAAACTAGCGTTTTGTCAACTTTAAGATCGTGTAAATATTGCACAATACGACATGATATTGTGAAGTCTGGGATTGTGTCGACAAAGGAATTCCAGAGACAGAATATACGGGTTATTAAAGTGAGGTGATCATATGACCCATACTTGTGAGAGGACAATATTGGAAAGGATTGGATTTTAAGGGGTGAAAATGTCACTTTGTCACTCTCTTGCTTTCAGACGCCATCTTATATTTTTGCCATTGAAAATAAATAACACTACGCCATCATGCCACAGGTAAACATTGCCTTAATGCAAAATAATAATACTTTTTGGTATTTTGGATATTAATAATTGCTCGGAAATTGACATACCAGAGGCGGATCCAGGATTATTTGACGGGGGTGGGGGTGGGGGGGGGGGGGGCCGCCAGAGGGGAAACCCATCCCCTCCCCCCCCCCCCCCCCCCCGGCGAAGGGTCACAAATTTTCTGATATTTTAGAGGACGAAAGGTGCCATTTGGTAAGGTTTAAAACTATGATTCAGCTAGTCAAAACTCTTATTTCAAGAGAGGCCATTGGCGTGATTGTGTCGGTCTACAGTGTGTATGTCACGTACGATAATGACGTAGGCGCCAAGAAAAATATTTCTTCCACTGGGTTAAGGCTGATTTTGACTGGTATTATTTTGATTACGTTTGAGATGCGAAAATAATTTCTTATGATTATTTCATTTTCCTCGTCTCGATGCAGTTTACATTTGGGTTGAAAGCTGATAAATCCATACCAAAAGTAAACTAATCGTAATATAGTAAAGTTTACCCAACTTGTTGCACAAAAGTGCAATTAACCAATGTTTCTGTTCAAAACGGTAGAATAATTTCTCCACAGTTATAATCAACGATTTCGCAAATAAAAATCAAAGAACAATCAATAATAAACAAGGCCGTTCAAAATTGATTGTGTGGTGTGCCGATCTCTCTAGAAGATTGTCTTTTGTCATTATTAAAACAGGCCCTTTCCTACGAACCTGTCTGTTTACTTGCAGAGCTCCGCCCACTCCAGTCCGGAGCACGCGCATGATCAAAGCAGTGACATAGTGTACACAACAGTACGGCGGCGGTGGTGGGTTATATTGCAATGACAGCCGCTTTTCTTGAACGGGGTTAAGAGTAAAGTGTGACCAGCACTTTTCCAGTGCGAAACGTAATGTTATTCATTTTCTAGGATTCTCTATTGACTATAGAAATATGGAAATACGCCCAAGACTGCGAGGAATACCTCGACTGATTAAACGGATAATTTTGTTTTGAGGTTCAACTCGCCGAAGATGTCCACCAGCGACAGTGTTATGGCTCTGTCAATGCACGTCAAGAGGACGGTGTGCGTTTTAGTGTTTCTTACACTTCAGTGTGTAGCTTTTGTGAACTCTAGAGGTAAGTCACGAGGTCCAGACGACTCTAAAGTTCAATGACTGTGTGTTTTAAAAGCCAAATTCCACCTAAAAACACTGTCAAAATACTTTGGACATTTCTCCCACTCATGTTTACCAGCCGATAAATTCACCTTGAAACGATACATGCAAGCACATTACAACTGAAATGTACACCACCAGTTTAACTTTAAGTGTGATACTTGGCGGTCTACCACTAAGACTTCATTTAGGACTACATGTAGCAAGTGGGCCTAATCAAAGTCTTTGGCATATTACATGCCTGAAATGTTCCAGGTAGCGTATTTTACACTGTAGCCTAGTTAACCTCTGGTTTGGTTTTTAATTGCTCACCACTGTGCTAAATTTTCAACTTCACAATGCAGATATTAGTGCACTGAGGTGCGCAGATCTATTCATTTTGTGTGTAAACACACATTTTTGAATGCTTGCCAAACTGTACCTAAACACAACCTGCCATTGAGGCCTATTTGAGCATTGTATAATTCTCTGCCGTGTGGGTCTGGCTGCTTTGTCGAAAAGTTTCACATGCTTTCACCATTCTGGTTTGACTACGAGCAGTGCATGCACTGACTGAGTGATTTTCTTGCATGACTGACTCCCCACTTGAGCAAAGCATATTTAGACTGTTGCCTTAACATAGGACTGGTTGGTCCTGCCATGGCTTGAAAGGTCACTGCTCTGCAGTGATTAATTATACTGGCATTATGAGTATCAAAAAATTCCATTCATACTATGTGTCCCATACGTCTTCATAATTTTTATGAGAGGTTAATTGTATCATCCCATCCATTAGTACGTGTAGTTTTCAGTTTCGGTCTCTTCTTACAGTATGTAATTATGCTTATTTTATGCTTCTTTTAATGATCTGTTCACATTGTGCATTTTACATTTCTTTTAACCCATTTGTTTATGATATTTGTTGCATACCTTCAGGACCAATTCAGGGTTCACAAATCCCATAGGAAGTTATCCACCACACCTTGTTTTTTAATTATTCAGCAAACACTTGCTACAGTGACCGGACAAATCAGTGTTGTCAAGCACCTTTCAAAGCAGGGTCATGACAGAGAGATTCTCTTTCTCTCTAAGCATGCACATTCACCCCTTGACCTATGAATTTGTAGCTACAGAATGATTTCATTTAAGGCAAACTTACTTATGTAATTATTTTTTCTTTGGTAATTAAGGGAGTAAATTGTCTTTGAATGATGTTAGATTTTGAGACACCCCCATTATTTTGAGCTACAGACCTTTTACTAAGAGGTCACCAGTTGAATGAAAAGTCTTAGGCATGAGCTGCTTTCATCAGTTTTTACAACAATCCAGGTAACTTCAGATTTCTGAAGAATTTTTCCAACTGATGACAGATGGATGCATGTTTGTGAAAGCTTACTGTTTAGATTTTTTTCTGGTGTGCTGAAAAGTTTCAGTAGTCAACAAGTAATAGACTGATAATCTACCCTGAAAACTCCCATGTCGCCATTATAATGCTTTCTTCATCTAGGATATTCAATTGCTCAATCTATGCAAATGGTCAAAAAGGAAAATAGAAGATTAACTTATTTAACAAACGTCAATCTCTGAAGCAGTTGGTAAAAAGAATTTCACAAAGTGCTATGGTGATATATAATTAAGTGGGTTAAATTTAATGGGTTGAATTCAATTTATATTTTACAAGGCAGTTTCTTAAATTGAAGGAAACACAAGAAGTTGTTTTGTGTGCACCGACTTGTGACTAAGCAGTATTTATAGTTTTATGACTTTGAGTTGGTCCTATAACTTTCCAAGGTGTTATACTCTGGCAGTGCCTTTAATACCACTTCAGCTAGGCCAGGTCATCATATAGTGAAATGGGCATAACCTTATCCATATCAACACAACATCCACCATAATAAATTACTTTCAGTGTGAAGATCAGATTTCAACATGCTCTCAATTAATAATAATAATAATTTATTGAGCACTGAAATGTTTTTACATTTAGAGGCTCTCTAACTACTATACATTATACATACGAAAAGATAGTAATGATAGTAAGTAAATGAAACGTTAACCCCAGAAGAGGTGTTAGGTAATTATTATTTTACCACATTTTTCTCAAGGGAAGCTAAATAATTCAATAATAGAAGACCAGGTGTGAAGGATAGCTGATGAATTCAGCCTTGTGTGGGTTAAAAGAGGGAAATCTGACCTCTACCACACCACCCCAGCCAGGTGCTATCTGTGACAGTGTACAGAAACAGGTGATTAGTTTTCTATGATACAAGCTGAGAAAGATGATTCAAAAAGGAGGGACTGTAATGAACCTTTCTGGAAGACTTGATACTTCATATTCATATGCAGATTTGTGAAGTGGATTTGAAAATGACTTTTTTCCACTTGTTGATTTCTGACTTTTAACTCCTCCAGTTGCTTTGTGTTGGAATGTACAACCTCCCACTATGCTTGTGAAATGATAAAAGAAACTAAGATATTTTGATCATTTAAGATAAAGATATTCTTTGAAATATATCCATGTTATAATATTCTGTTAAAGAAATCCACTTTATTCTGTGAAATATATAGAGTGACTTAAGATTTCACCTTCTGCCATGGAAAAGTAGTAGGAATAAAGTAGCATGACAGTATCGTGTTACATGGTTTCCTTTCCTTGATTAAGTATTGTATATTGACTCTGTTTCCAAATCCTTATTGTTTCTGAAATCTATGCAATATGCTCTTTTAATAAGGCAAGCACATGCCATGCCTTCAGGAGTTAATTTACAGCAAGGTCTACCAATAAGACCATCTTATTTAACACATAAAGGGTATCCGCTGAGAAACCATATTGTGTAATATATCAGCTAGTACTGTTATTAGAGAGGATGGGTGTTCTCATCTCAAGGTGACAATAGTTGTAGTGTACAGAGGTACTGCTATGTCACTAGGGTACAGACAAGATGTCTTTGTAGATTTCACAAGAAATAGAAGGGTGTCATTATAAAATGTCTGGGTGAGAGCGACATCTGACAGGATAGACTGATGTATTTGATATACTGGAAACTCCCTTCTGTTTCAGAATGTGATTTTGCATTTAACATTTATTGAAGAAAAAAAATGAAACCCCTGTCTTTCAGCACCTCATAATTGAGGAACAGGTGCCTGCTGTGAAATGGGATTGGAGGGTTGATACCTGTCATTGTAAAGATAATGCAGATGTATTTTCTTTCTGTACTTGGAAGTTGATGTGGCTATGAAACACTGTGATGGCATTAGCTAAGAAGTAGATTCTTTAATTATAGCAAAATTGAATCTTTCTCCTTTTTTTTGGACAGAAGGATTGGCTGTGGGTAGTCATTAATTTCTATTTGTCCTCAAAAACAGTTGGTTGAGTAGGAGTTCCTTTTAAATGAGTAATAAGAATATTGAAAATTAAATTCCTGCTAGTTGCATGTGAAGCAGAGTTATGAAAGTACCATGTATTCTTGTACCGGAAGCCTGTTTTCAGGAACAGAATCAACAGATGAATGCTGTTCCTGCACTTTTGCTCTCCTCCCTCCTGTGACACTGTGCTAAATGTGATATCTAGCAATATATAAGAGACCAAAAAGTACCGTGCATTTTTAATATATTGCTTTATTCACAGGATAACTGTTATAGGATAGCCATTTTATCTAGTGGGCAGTAGTATTGTCCATAAAACTATCCAGTGTTGCTCCAGGCCTAGTTCATGTATGCTGGTCAGAGTATTTGGAGTGATTTTTTTTTGCTCCTGTAATCAGCCTGCAATTCTCCTTTTCCATTTACTTATACAATTAATATTACATATGTACCAGTGCATGGTAGGCTACATGGAAGATGTTGAATGCTGAGATGTTTCATTGCCTTTTGTTGCCTTGTTTTTCATCAATAATCTGTCAGGGGTTTATCTACTTTTGAATGTCATTAATATGTTATGTGTGTGCATGATATAGATGTCTGTGTTACTGCGTGTCATCAGTTATCTGTCTATTAGATGGCATTCATCCTTGGTGTCATAAAGTTCATATACATACAATCAAGAATATCTACACGCGATATGTAAGATCCTTGTTTTTTTGACACAGGAAATATTAGCAACGTCAATGTTGGTGATATCTTTTCTGTCAGCTCATAAAGATAACTAAGGCATCATATCCTAAGAAAGGTGACTGCGTGAGTAAACAACTCACTCTTTGATCTTGCAATATTAGGGCACATACATCAGGTTTCCAATAGGCCCCCCTTCAAATAAAAAAGGACCCACACGTATGCACGTATGCATGCACACACACACACACACACACACACACACTTACTGGGCATGACATGTTGTTTGTACTCCAGCAAGCCAAATAAAGGTTTAAGTAAAATCTGTGACTGTCACCGTATCGTTTGATTCAACATGGCCGATTTGTTCTATTGATTTCAGATTTGCATGCTGGTGGTGCTGAGTTATTGGGTGTCACTTTCAAGGTGAAAATTATTTATTGAAAGGTTAATCAGATTAGATACACATCCATGATTAACCCTTGACTCCATTGATTTTTGAGAGAATTTACCATTACAGCAATCTGAGAAAATTTTTCTTTGGCATGAAATTTTGCAGTGATATTGCAGTAAAGTTGTCCTGGTTTGAAAATAATGTACTTTCTGTTCAGGGTCAGTAAAGTTACTGCATAGTGTCTGGCTTGTTTTAACCTAGGCAACCCTGTCTTTGTACCTGAAAGCATGGTGTGAAGGGGTTATTAATGCATCAGTTGATCTTAAGAGAAGGCATATTTCATAGGTGTGAAGCTCAATTTTGGCAGGTAATCACTTGTAATATACAGTGCGGATGGCTTCATCATGTTGATTGGAGATTGGTCGGTGGTCTCTCAAAAAACAAAAAAAAAAAAATAATGAACAAACTTTTGTAAACCATTGCCTTTTATCTGAAGGAGTGTATCTTTAGGTTCATAACTCTTTACTGAAATCCATATT